TTCCCTTTCAACTAATGTATTCTCCCCTCTACTCTTTCCCTTCATATGGACACTTCCTGAAATAGGCAACACTTTTCTTCCTGGTCCATCCAATCTGCTGGCCTGTGTAAGTTACTATAATCAGAAACCCTTCAATCCTCATTGTAGAGTCACGTCCCATGAACAAGTATCATGCCACAAGATTTTCATGACCTCATTCTCTCTGGTCATTCCTTGTACCTCTGACTTTCATAAAAGTCTTCCATCATTGGCCTTCTGAAATGGGCTCCCCAATACTGGGTCTCTTCTCATCTAATTCTATACACATGAACAAGGCAGGCTTAAACTAGCACTTCTGCTCTATACCTATTATCTCAACCCTTCTCCACCACTAAGCATTTCCACCAAGAGCCTTAAAATTAAAAATAAACTTCACAGCAACCCGATGAACAACAAATCAGAACTCTGTGTTATGTATCCTGCATCATCCTCATACCCACTACCTTGGTCAAGCCCATTCTTAAACAGGATGATGTTACTTCTTTGTATGAATAAAATGTAATTGAAAGAGAAAAAAAATTCAAAATTAAAAAATCCAAATGATTCACCTTCTCATCAGAAGTGCTCCTCCCCCAGGGCTCTCCCATCTTGCCTGGATTTCTCCAACCAGCGAGCCATCTTGGAGGTTTCTCACTCTTTTGTGACCTTCATCCAATTATGTACATTCTACTATTTACCTGCTGTTGCTAGGTGCCATCCGGTGGACTCCAAGTCACAACAACCTTAAGAACAATAGATTTAACCCTTGCCCAATCCTGTGCCATCCTCACAATCTCTGCTGTGCTTAATCTCACTGTTGCACTGTGTCAATCTGTCATTTTTAATGTCTTTCTCTCCTTCTCTCAGGCTCCATTTTTCTAAATATGATGTCCTATTCCAGCAAATGACCCCTCCTGACAACAGGCCCCAAGTAAGAAGCTTTACCTTCTTTGCCTCTAAGGAACTTTTTTTTTAAAGTACCCTTGCTGTATTTCCTCAAAGACAGACTGGTTTGTTCTTTTTGCAATCCACAGTCAATACTTTTTGTGGACACCACAATTTAAAAGCATCAATTCTTCTTTACTCTTCTTATTCACTGCTCAACTTTCATATACATATGAAACAACTGAAAATACCATGGCTTGGATCAAAGGCACTTTAATCTTTAAACTGACATGTTGCTTCCATGGGTGTTAATTGTGGATCCAAACAAAACTAAATCCTTTACATGAATCTTTTTTACCATCGACCATGATGTTTATTGGTTCCGCTGTGAAGACTCTCGTATTGTTTCTGTTGAGGTACAATCACATCGAAGGCTGTAGTCGCCGATATTCTGAAGTGATTCAAGTCCACATGATGGATGTACACACTTTTCTATATATCATCTCCACTTTACCTCTGCTGTCATTTTAGCGCACACTTTGAGAACTCTCTGAAACTCTCACAATAGTCTCACAACTTGTCTCTGCTACTTGTCTCATTCCCTTCCCATTCCACCAGTCACAGAACAAACAGAGCTTTCCTCTACATGGACAGACCTGCTGAGGCTACTTGACCCATAGGCTAGAGTCCTTTGGCGGCATGCCACTACCTCACAAGAATGAAGTCCAAAACTTTTGTTGTTGTCATGTGCCATCATGTTGCTTGTGACTCATAGCGACCCTATGTACAACAGCTCCAAACTCTGCTCTATCTTGAGCCAACCTCACTGTCTCTGACATAACTACTCCCATAACCCCAGTCACTGAGTCTATTCATCTCATCTAGGGTCTTCTTCTCGTGTTGTCCCTCCCAAGCATGGTGTCCTTGTCCAAGGACTGGTCCCTCCTTGCAACATGCATAAAGTACGTCAGACGAAGCTTCGGAATCCTTGCCTCCAAGGAGCAGCCTGTTTCTGTTTGTTCTCTTAGAAGTCCATGCTATATTCAGTACTCTCCTCCAGCATCACAACTCAAAGGCATCAATTTTCCTTCTATCATCCTTAGTCATTGTCTAGCTCTCTGATGCCTATCAAGTAATTGCAAAGACCATGGCCTGGACTAGGCACACCTTAGTCTCCAGAGTAACATCATTGCTCTTTAGTACTCTGGAAAAGTCCCTGACAGCAGATTTTCCCAATGCACTTTGTCTTTTGATTTCCTGGGTGCTGATACCAAGAGTGTTGATTGTGGAGCTGAGCAAACTGAAGCTGTTAACAATCACAATCTCTTCACTGTCTATCATGATGCTGCCAATCAGCCGAGTGGTGAGTATCTTTGTTTTCTTGATATTAAGCTTCAATCCATATTGAAGGCTGTAGTGCTTGACCTTCTGCGCCAAGTGCTTCAGGTCCTCCTCAGTTTTGGCAAGCAAGTTTGTGTCATCTGCATAATGCAGATTGTTGATGAGTCTTCAGTCCTGATGCCACATTCCTCCTCATAGAGTCCAGCCTCCTTGGTGATCTGTTCAATATATAGAGTGAAAAGGTATGGAGATAGAATGCATCCTTTCCTGATTTTGAACCATGCAGTGTTTCCTTGCTTTGTCCAGATGACTGCCTCCTGGTCCAAATATAGATTTCACATAAGCACAATTAAGTGAGATTCCCATTCTTCTTAGAGTCAGCCACAGTCTGTTGTGAACCACATAGTCAAATGCCTTTGTGTAATCAAGGAAACGCAGATAGATATTCCTCTGATACTCTCTGCGTTCAGCCAAGATCCATCTCACAATCACTACAAAGTCCTTAGTGCCATGACCTCTTCTAAAGTGAGCCTGCACATCTGGCAGTTCTCTGTTGATGTGCTGTTCCAGTCTTTTTGGACATGATGTGCCTCATCCATCATCTCACACTCCTCCTTCACATTCCCCTATCTATCAACTCTGTCCTCTGAGTGCCTTATCTTTGCATATGCATTCTTCTCTCTGTTCAGAAGACCATCCCTCCCCACCAAACTGACCAAGCTCTTCCACACGCTGATAATCAACTTGAGCAACACTTCCTTGTTGCACTTTCTCAAACTCTTCTGAAGTTTGCCTTCTTTTTTCCTCTTGTACACATGTCTCATGTATTATTGATTACACGGGTATTTCACTATTACGCTTTCTTTCCCTTCAGGTTCTGAGTTCCCTGAAGGAAGAACTTTATTTATTTGTTGTGGCTCAACTCTATATCATGAGCAGCTAGTACAGCGCTCAACACAAAAGAATCCACCAAGGGAAAGCTTCACATGCTGCAGGTTCTTTTCTTTCCAATATTCATCTTTTGCATTGAAAATAGAGCATCATATTTTCTCTCTATAAATGACAATGAATTAAGGTGGGATGAGAAAAAAAAATCTGCTTTATTTGAGAGAAAAAAATGTCCAAGTTGTCTTACTGGGGAATGAAAATACTGGCCCTTTGATGTAAATGTTCACAGGGGATAACAGCTCTAAGAACAATTAGAGAGGATGAGTTTTATCATCAAGTCAAGTCACTGAATACCAGTGTCATAAGGGAAACCAGGAAAGACTATCCAAGTAAATCCACTGACTTGGTGTAAAAGTACATTTTCTTATGATCTAATGTTGTTTCCGTGCACCATCAAGTTGGAACCGATCCGCTGCTGCCCCTCCAGCGGGTTTTCAGAAGCAGTAAATCACACAGACCAATTCCTTACCACTAAGCGACCAGAGCTCCCTAAAATAAAACAGGCGAGTCAACATTTAGGTTACGCCGTACTCTAGGTCCCTCAAGTCCAGTACTAAAAAGGGAACCTAATTTTAGGCAAATTTCTCTGGAGGAAACAAACTCTTCAGAAACAACTTTATAAATTCATCTAACAAATTTACAGTAAGTAGGCATAGTTGCCAGACAAATAACAACTTTTAGATTATAAATTTTGAAGACCTAATAGCCTTCTAATTATAAAAGGGTAAAAAAGTGTAAATATGGCTACATACAAAAAAATTATACAAAAATACAATAATTGTATGTAGCGAAAACATAATGGCATTTATGTAGGTCACGCATATTATAATTAGGAAATCGAAGCTCAGAACAGCAGAATTACTTTCATGATGACTCATCTTCATTATGGTTAAAAACAAAACAAAAGCAGAATCTGTTTGGATATAAGCAGCTTAAAACTCCATTTTCCAGGCATCTCCTGCCAGTCTTCAGTACTGTGTACCTAGCCCTTTCTATCTACCGATTTCCTTTGTTTTCCATCCCTGATACTGCAGTGATTTTACTGCAGTCCCTGTTCTTCTGTCCGATCTTTTTAAAAACTCTCCTTAAGGGTGCTAACTAGAGCTCCCTCCAGCTCTTTAATCTCAAGATCACGTGTATCCACAGTGACTCCCTTAGGAATGAGGTGTAAAGACAGAATAAATCTCCACTGACAATCAACAATGCAATTCTAACACACCACGCAGCATTATGGAATTAAGAGTAATCTTCTGTGTCATTCTGATAGTTCCAATGAGACATAAAATCATTTCCAGAAAATTAACTACATTTAAACCGAACATGGGGGTAGATGTGTAAGACTCAGTGAGACTGGCTCAGCATACAGCAAAGTTCAGAGCTATTAAAGGGTCACCATGAGTTGCAGTCAACTTGATGGCACATCACAACAATCTGAAGTAAAATTTAATTTTGTAATTCTGTATATGCTTCTTCAATACGTTTAAGTGCTGGAAGAGCCTACTAGAAAATTCCTGGAAAGATGACCATCATGGATGGGAATCTAAGATCATCTGAAAGCATGTAAAGTTTATAGTAATAAAATAGCATGAAGAAAAGACTTCGAAAAATGCACCACAGTCAACTAACTGCATGGGAAGAGACTGACCATGTTTCTCCTGAAGAACCACCAACCACCAGGGGATCTGAACACGAGAAAGGCATCATCTTCATCAGGTTACCTGTACAACTCTCCACCCACAAGGCCACCGGGGCCTATTACCAATGACTTATTTATCGAAATTGCAGGATCAGTGCACAATCTCACTCACCGTCACCAGCAGGAAGTCCTCTCTCCTTTTTTTCATCACATTTGTTGCATTCACTGAAGTAAAGCAGCAAGAACATATCCAAGAGTACCCACACCAAAGAGGTGGCTAGGACCACCTTGCAATATGCAAATTTTCTCATGGCACTTTAAGTCAAATGCAAAATTTTAAAATATATATATATATACGTATAAATATACAAATATGAAAACTATTCCCATCCAGTTTCATCAGAAATCACGTTCATAACCTATAGGGGAGAAAAGAGAGAAAAAAATTAATTTTAAAAATTCAGAGCATAGAAAAATAATAAGATTAATTTAACATGTCTATGAAGTAGTAAGCTTGTAAATCAGATTCAGAGAAATCTCCATAAAATACTTAAGAAGTATTAGTATGAAAGGTGCACAAATTTTATAACGATACAATAATCCAATAGAAAAGGTGGTAGGGGGATATAAGTATAACTCCATAAAAAAAACCCCAAACAAACCCAACCTGAATAGACAACAAATATTGAAAACTATACACTATTCACTGTCATTAGAAAAACGTAAATTAAAACAACTTTAAGATACAATTTTATATCCATAGATTAGCATAACTTTAAAACTTAAAAAGAACAATCGATGCTTTTGAATTATGGTGCTGAAGAACACGGACTATCCCACGGACTGCCAAAAGGGCAAACAGAAATGTCTTGGAGAAAGCGTAAGCAGAGTGCGCCTTAGAGGCTAGGAAGGCAAAGCGTCATCTTACATACTTTTGAAATGTTAGGAGGGACCATTCCTTGGAAATGGACATCGTACTTGGAAAGGTAGGTCAGGAAGACCTCCAGCAAGACAGACTGCACAGTGACTGCAGCAAAGGGCTACAGGATGTCAGCGAGGAGGAGGATGGTACAGGTGAGGACAGGGCTCAGATCTGTTACTCATATGATCACTCTGAATCATACTCAACTCAACAGCATCTACCAATAACTTTACCTCCCCGACTGTAAGCCCTAACCCTCTGGTATCATGTATATTCTGACTCATAAGACCCTATAGGGCAGAGTACAACTACCCAATAGGGTTCCCTTGGTGTAATCTTTACAGAAGCAGACTGCCACGTCATTCTACAGGACTGCTGGTGAGACTGAACTGCCAATCTTTCAGTTGGCAGTCAAGCACTCAACCACTATGCCATAGGGGCTGCTGCTTCAGATCATCTTTCCTTCCTTCTCACTGCCATCGAGTAAGAACCAACTCACTCACCCTCCACTACGTTTCCAAGTCTGCAAACTGCACAGGAGGAAACTGCTTGTATCAAAGATGGGTAACATTAGGAGGGAATGACCTTATACCGGGAGCTCTGGTGAGGAACTGCACAGCCAGAGCAAAAGTTCACGGTTCACATCTACCAGCTGCTCTATGGCAGAAAGATGGGCAATCTCCTCCCGTGTGATTGACTGCCTCTGAAAACTTGCTGGAAGGTGACTATGGGTCGGTTCCAACTCAGCAGTGCACAACAGCCTTACAGCCACTGCTTTTTGGAATATAGTTCATTCTATCCACTGTGAAAGTAAACCTGGTTGTCCCTTTTAAAAATGAAAAATGGATACATATTTGTTTCGCATTTCCATTGAGAAACATGTATAAGCACAAGCAGATCTCTCTATATATATTAACACTATATGTGTAACAGTAAAAAAGCCCAACAAACTAGAAATAATCTGTATGACCACTACCAGTGAAGGAATGGATAGAAAAAGATATTGACATAATACTATAAAGCAGTATAAGGTACCTACGGGTAAGCAAGCTAGATCTTAACAACATTAAATAATTTTTAAACTTAACTTTATGTGAGCACTCAGATTGGTAAGAATATATGGCTCTGTATATCCACAGGAGAAAGATGTGGTCATGAGGTATTTCTACCTTGTGCTGTAAAGTTGCTATGAGTCACAGTTCATGGCCTCAGCTCTGGTTTTGTGTATGAGTGCACACAGCTTTATATGTCAGTCAGGTTGCAGTCCTACAGTAACTTGTGTGTTGCTATGATGCTGACAGACATGCCGCTCAGACTTCAACATCAGGACCACCCCCAATCAAAAGGTTTTAGTGAAGCTTCCAGACTAGAAGTAAAGGTCTGGAGATCTACTTCCAAAAAGTAGAACTTGTGGGTAGTAAAAAAAACACTGTCCAATATTGTGCTGGGAGAGGAGCTTCGCAGGCTGGAAAATACTATGGGCCAATCACTGGAGAAGGACAGCATCTTTGGGCAAGGAAGTCCAGCAAAATGTAGGATGACCATCAGTCTGAAGGACCAGCACAGCGGCTTCAACAATGAGCTCACACATAACAACTGCGAGGTTGGTGCACATTGCAACAGCATACGTAAGGTCACTACGACTCAACACCAACTCACAAAAAACGATGAGTATTTTAAATGGGAATTTTGTTATAAATGTAAAAATCACCTACAAAATGAAATAAAGTGATAAAATTATTATAGGCAACTAAGAGTGGGCAAATTCACAACAAAACATAGTTCAAGTTAAACAAAAGTTTACTAGCTGGCTTTGGTGGAAGATTTTTTTAAAGAGCTTTAATGCTATACCAGCCTGTCTTTGTTTCATTTTCAATTTGAAACAGCAACAGAAAACAAACTCTAAAATATTTCTACTTGGACTCTAAAAGATTTACAAACACTACAGTCAAATTAACCTTTAGCAACCAAAATATTACTGCGTGCAAAGCTTTATTTCTATCTTTCTGATAGGTACCTTAGAATAATTATTTCTTTCTTTGTGATTGCAATGAGTAATCAGATAGATAAACACATACACACTGGCAAATTAAAAAAGATTTTATGTCTATATGGATGTGTAAATATATCCTATGCCCATCTGGTGCACAATGACACACCAATTTTTTCCCCCATTCCCATTTTGTAACTAAGGTCCCTTTTGAAATGCAAGATGCTTTTTTTAGGGTTGGGGGGGTCAGAAAGACAAAATAAGAAGAGAGCTTTATCGTTAATTACAAGCTAAACCCAATACATTTATATATGAAGACATTTTAAGTGGTTAAGTCTTTGAATTGTTGCCATAACAAGCTATCTGTTCAAGAAAACTGCCATATAATTCTCCGAGGAGAATCATCAGGGCCCCTTGAATGGTCAGATTAGCTGAGTAATTCTGAAGATCAAGTGTGTCAAATATCAAAATGCAAAGCTGAATCCCAAAGAATAAATCTATCTCATCACATGATTCTCAAAAAATTAAAATGCATTATGTTTCCAATTTAAGTAAGGAAAAGGTCCCTGTTTCTAAAGCATCAGATATGATTTTAAAAAGGGGGGAACCCTAAACCAACAAAAAGACTTTCTCGTATCTGTATCTTTTCTGTATCAGAAAGGGAAGATTCAACTATTCTAAGAAATAGACACCTAAAGTGTTCTATACTTAAAGGTCACAAAATAGCTCATTTTAATATGCATTATTATTCAACTGACATTATATTAAAGCCAGCCTTAATTTACCATGTTTACCTATTTAATTTTAATAGTGTGTTGAAACATCAATAAATATAAGATAAAACAATTTATTTAGACATTTTTCAATATTTCAAACTAAAAGCACAAAGCAGAGATTCTGCTGGATGTTTGGAGGCAAGAGTTTATTTTTTTGCTTTCCCTAAATTTCCTCATAAAAACAGACAGATTAACTAAAATAACGAAACAGGAGTCCCACAGACAACCTTTTCAACAAAAACAGGTGACAAAAATGGCCTACAAACTCCAAAATCTGAACAGGTACAAAGAGTCACCAAAAACAAGATTCTCAGCATCTGTAAAGACAAAGTAGACGACTGGCCTAAGGACTCTCAGCCCACCCATCCACAGACACCCCCTCAAAAGCCTCCAGACTTGAACAAGTGAAAACGGGAGGACCTGCATGTTGAGTACAAAGTAGAACGTCCTGCCTTCTACATATAAGTAGGAATTTCAAGTCATCTTCTCCCATGTTGATAGCTGATTACTCAGTATTATTTATTAAAAGCCCACACTTCTCTAATTTTCTTATACCTGAGACATTTGCTGCAGAAGGTCATGGACTGCAGCTCTCAATATGGATTGAAGCTCAACATCAAAAAAAACAAAGATTCTCACCACTGGGCCGTTTGGCTGCATCACGATAGTGAAGAGACTGAGATTGTTGACAGCTTCAGTTTGCTTGGCTCAATAATCAACACTCTTGATACTAGCAGCCAGGAAATCAAAAGATGAACTGCACTGAGGAAATGTGCTATCTGGGACCTCTCTAGAATAATGAAGATCAATTATGTCAGTCTAGAGACTAAGACGTGCCTGATTCAGGCCATGGTCTTCACAGTAAGTTGCTATGCATCAGAGAACTGGACAATGACTAAAGATAATAGAAGAATCGATGCCTTTGAGTTATGGTGCTGGAGAAGAGTACTGAATATATCATGGACTGCTAGGAGAATAAACAGGTTCGTCCTGAAAAGGCTGAAGCCAGGCTTTTCCTTGGAAGCAAGGATTCTGAAGCTTCATCTCACATACTTTGGGGATGTTATAAGGAAGAACCAGTCCTTAGAGAGACATCAGGCTTGGAAGGGTAGAAGGATAGTGCAAGAGAGGAAGACCCTTGATGAGTCAGTGACTAGGGGAATAGGGGTAGGTTTGTCAGAGACAAAGAGGTCGGCTCAAGAAAGAGTAGGGTTCAGGCTAACACAAATTTTGTTAAAAAATACTTCTTAAGTATTTTGGATTCCTTTTTTTTAAAAAAAAAATGTGTTGTTTATTGCTGACTTACAGAAGTGTATCTGATTCTTAAATGGGAATTTTAAATCCAGCAAACTTGCTAAGAGTGTCAGTAGGATACTGAACAGGAAAGATGAGAACAGTGTTATTGTTGACCTTAAAGAGGCTGTGTCTGTTTTTATATGGTAAAGAAAGAAAGTAGTGGGCATGGATGGCCATTTAGTCACTTAAAAATATATTCTCATGGGAGATGATGGCCCATCTTTCTCCCATGGAGTTGCTGGTGGGCTTGAAACACCAGATAGGTGTCACCTTTGGGTAAGGAGCACAATACCTTAAGGACTATGCCAGTCTGACAGAGTTCCCCTATGGCAAAAAAACACTCCACTAGTTAAAAGCACTTAACCAGACATCTATGATGGGATTACTCTACTTTTCTGACAATTAAGTAAACAAAAAAAAATACGT